AGGAAAAAAACCTGTCTAGGATTGTATATTCCTACATGAAATTAGGGCCAACAGCCTAGATAATTTTGTAGGATTCCTAAAAACATTACCCTTATGCTTAAACATTATTTGCCTACTGATCCACAGCTGAAAACTAGATTTAGAATATTTACAAATTCTACAGATTTCACAGTTTCTCCTCATGAAGTTATTCACAGTATCAAAAACTAAAGGATACCATGTGTAATCCAAATCCAAGGGAACCAAGTTCATTATTATGCAAAATAATATGCATGACAAAGGTTCTAAATGTCAGCAATCCCAGCTCTCCACTTGGGAGGCTGAGGCAGAAGGATCGCTGCAAGTGATCTGTGTGGAGTGGGTTCCTTGGCATTTTACCTCAGTTTGTAGGATAGCAGCCCTCTGTTCCTTAGCAGTCAAGGATTCCTTCAGTACTTCAATATGTTGTTTACTGTCTGAGAACTGGTTTGTGAGCGTCTCCAACTTCGTCTGCAAAGCCAGTAGCTCTGTGTCCTTTCTGGACAGCTCCTGTTTCACTTGGCCAATCTGGAAGAGAAAATACCACAAGGATAAAGAGAAACAACCACCTCTAACACTAGTAATCTAGGGCCATGCCAGACGTGGTGGCATACGCCTGTAATCCTAGCACTTGGGACACGGAGGATCACTATGAGTTCGAGGTCAGCTTGGGATACACAATAAGAGCAGCCTGAATCACAGAGTGAGGCCCTGGGAGTGAGGGCAGATGGGGGCACCTTCTTGTTTTTCTATTAAGACATTAAGTTTTAGTTTGTTTCTCAAACAAAAGTTTCATAATATTCTAATTTTAAAAAGTTACTTTCAGTGCTATATGGCATTACCAGTCTTATGATTTTCTAAAACTCCTATAAATTTTATAAGTTATATGTCTAGGACTTTATTTTGCTTTTATTTTTATTTTTATTTCTATTTTTGAGTACCAGAGATTGAACTCACAACCTTGTACTTGCCAGGAGGTGCTTATGCTGCACTATCTCCCCAGCTACACATAACTTTAAAAAAAGACCTCATTCCGTAATATTCTATCATCTGTAATAAGTCAAAACAACTAAATGGATAAACTATGTGACCTTTTAAATAAAGAGAATTGTACAATCTCAGTCTGTAAGAACTTTAAATACCCTAAATGGATAATCCATAAATTAATCAGTTGATGATATTCACCTTTCCAATAAGTATCTTAACATAAGAAATATTTTCTTCAAACATCTTAACATCCCTATTATTTCTAAGAATTTTTAAAATAATTTTTATCCTATGTTAAACCTAAAAAATAGATATTAGATCTGCTTTTTTTTTTTTTTTTGAGATGGGGTCTCATTATGTAGCCGAAGGCTGCCTTGAACTCTCCATGATCCTCCTGCCTCGTCCTCCCAAGTACTGGGGTTTACAGGCATGTTCCACCCTGCCCAGCTCAGATCTGCTTTTAAATTATGTGTGCCATCCAGTGAGGTACTAATAGACAATTCAAGGTATAAATTTGACAATAAGTTGAATAATTTTAGAATCACCAATGAAACAGCCTTTTATTTTTAAAAATTCGAATATATCTATAGTATTTCCCATGGGAAAATAGTACTTTAAAATTAGACTTTTAAGAAGAACAACTAAAAAATAAACTTTCAACTCAATCTTGTTTCAACAAAAAGACAAGCATTTGTTACATAAAAATTTGTTACATAAAATTTCTGTTTATAAAATAATGCATCCAATAAGGTTTCTGAATGTTTATTGTATGTAAAGTACTTGAAGATATCCATGACATTCTCTTACCAACATGTACCCAAGTATTAATCCTTAATACAAAGATTACACTACAAATTCATTTGTTATATGAATAAATATTCAGAAGAAATGTCCAAAGTGTTACAACTTATTTAGTAAAGAACTAGAGCTTAAATATCATTAACATTTCTTTTTTATTTTTTATTTTTTTTATTTTTTTATCATTAACATTTCCATCCACTTCCAATAATACAATCTAAAATAAATATAAAATCTGAATTTTCTCAGTGTCTGCATTATTATATGTTTCACATATATCTATACTGACTTTAAAGACTGAGAAAAGGAAAAAAATATTTCAAGTAAGAGCCCAATTAATTAATTAATTTTTTAAAGAGCCAAATTTAGATGCCGTGCCAGCCCCCAGGGCGCACAACTGAGTCCAAGCATGGTGGCACATGCCTGTAATTCCAGGGCTGGGAAGGCTGAAAATAGGAGGGTCACTATGAGTCCAAGTTGCATAGTGAGACCCTGTACCAAACACATAGAAGCACAAATTTTTCCTCAAAGATTGAGGAAGAGAGAAAATATTATAAATGCAAAGCAAATATAATACATAAGTCAGGAAGACAAGGTTTTGAAGTCAGTCATAAGTTGGGCTGAGCTGGCTATGTGTCCCTGAGCAATTACTTTACCTCTCTTAAATTTCTGTTCCCAGCTGCTAACAGGAAAATTATGCCAGTGCCACTGCACTGTTTAGGATTCAACAGAGTAATATATGAAATGACTTCACCCTGTTGTCTGACACGACAAAGAAATGAATAATAGTAGCTATGACAAAAAAAAGTTACAGATCAACATTTCTAGATATTACATGGCCTAACCATAAGCCAATTATACCCTTTCAAACAACATATTTTACTTTTTCTCCATAATTTTGAGAAATAAATAGTAATGAGATAATTTCAAATCAAATTGGTAGCATATTTTACTTTTTAATCTCTATTATAGAATGGCCCCAAAAATATACCAAGTTAGCACAAGTTTTTATTTTTTTAACTCTATATTCAAGTTTAAGCAATTTTTAACAATTTTTTCTAGCAGCAGTTTTCCTGAAGTGTACACACTTCAGCAAGTATGTACACAGGCATATATAAGGCAGGCGGTAAGAGCGTATTGGCACCCATTCTGGAATCACACTTTTCTGCTTGTATAAAATCAAACTCTACCTCTTACTAGCTATGTTTTCCTAGGCACCATTCTGGTACCTTGGCTTCCTCTATAAAATTGGGATTTAAATCTCAGCAGGTTAAAAAATACTTACGACACAAAAGATGAGTTAAAAAAACTCTGAATGTTTAAACTTGAAAAACTTATTACACGAACGACATTGGCAGGAATGGTAGGCTAAGTGTGCTTGCAATAAGGAACTAGTTTGAATAGCAATGCATCTTTTACTACAATACATTTTTAAAATTTAAATATTCAAGGGGCCGGGGAGATGGCTCAGTGGAGTAAGTGCTTCCCTGGCAAGTGCAAGGGCCTGAGTTCAATCCCCGGTCCCGCCAAAAAAAATAAATTTTTTTAATATTTAAATAAATAAATATTCACTGTATTTTTGACCACACCTCACAAGTGTACTAATGTCTGCTATCTTATTATTATTATGTTCTTCATGTTTTGAAATTTTAAATTACATGAAGTCTGGACTTGATTTAGGAAAATGAAACAGCACACATTCTAATTCACAGCATAATTCTAAATAAACTCATCATTTTCTACAAATCTGTCATAAGAAAACAACATTTTTGTTAATAAATCACCCACTAGAATGTAAAAGATAACATCTACATAAGAAGGCAAAGCACTTAACTAACAACTTTAAATTCAAATAAACTAGGTGATGGGCCTAAAGCATCTGCATATTTCTGTATCTAAGAAAAGGCAACCAACATCATATAAATTAACAAGTATCTATTTCTAATAATGGGATAAAAAAAGTTTTGAAATAACATCCACAGAGTGGCAAAAGCAACAATAAAGAGCCAAGTTTAGGGCTTCCAGAACACGAGAGCTCAGTGCACACAGAGGTGACATGTGGGACAAACTGGTGAACAGGAGGAATTGGTTAAAGAGCAATACAGGCTGGTTAGTGCTAGTAATGGGCAAAGCTGCCAACCATAGAAAAGTGTGAGCCACCCAGAAGCCAGAGCTAGCAGGGTCCCACCATGGGACCACAGCACACAGAGAGGTAAATCTTACGGCAAAGACCTCAGCCTGAAGACCAGCTGCTCTCTTTTTCAGCTCCTCCCCTTGAGCCTCTTTCGAACTTAGTTCCTCCTTCAGTTGCTCTACCTGTCACGACATTGTTATTCTTTTTTCACTCATGTCAATTTAGTTCTTTATCTGCTTTTGACCCAGAAGGCCACTGCAAATAACAATTAACTTATATAACACAGTCAGATCTGTTGCCCTATCTTATCTTTTTTGAGACAGGGTCTCCCTTCATAATTCACGCTGACCTTGATCTCACTATGTTCAGGACCCACGCTGGCCCTGAACTTGGCACAATACTTCCTGCCCTAGCCACCACACGCTGGACCCTAATTCTCTTTTCAAAGGGTCATATGCACATGGTTTTTCTATTTCTATAGGCTTTTTTTATGGACTAGAATGTGCTAATAGGAAGTACAAGCAGAAATAATATGGCTGTGTATTCTGTTCACAAATTTAGGCTAAAAAAATCCAAGCTAACAAAAATCTGGATATATGAATTTTGAAGTTCTAAACTTAACATGATACTAGCATAAGTCAATGATAACAGGTTATTAAATTATTAGATTCATATATCAGGTATGGCTACTCTAAGAAGCAACCAGAAATGAGAGAGGGAGTCACAACTGCATCATTCCCTTACACAACTGGGAATGTTTCAGTTTTCAGTTCTGATAAACTGAAGAATGCAGGTGAAATATACTTTTGGAGAACACAGTTAAGTAATTTTGTATAAACTTTTATCATTATAAATATGATTTTAATTAAACCATTACAAAATGGATAAAGTGTTAACTATAATAAACTAAATCCTCCAATTTGCCTACATAATTTACATAATCAGGATAAGTGACTTTTGATTTAAGGAAGAATTACTGTAATTAATTTTGAATTACAACCAATAGAAGTAGTAGCTATCTTATTATACATTCAACTGAAGCATACATGGGCAGCAGTAAACTTGATAAGAGAACTTTTCTTTTGGAAGTGTATTTAAAGAGGAAACATAATTTCATTAAACAGGGTTTTGATTTTAAAATACTTCAAAAGCATTAAAACTGAAGTCTCACATAGTGAGAAACTGTGAAACAAAATATCCTATCACTTCAAAAATACTAATAGATACAAAAAGCTAAAGTATGATAAGGCATATTTACTCTCAAATAAGCAATTCTCTTTTAACTACAAACTTGTAGTAACTACAGTATCAGAAGCTCTGGCTTTAATTCTGACTTTAATTTCTTCTTTTAAAAAAAAAAAAAAAAGCCCTGAAGTCTGATAAAAGTGAGGCAGATCTTTATCATTCCTAAAGAGATAAAATAGTATGAAATTTTCAAATCTTTCCTAAAAACTACAGTATATCACACATCATTACCTTATTTTTCATAAATTTAGAATGGCTCCGATACACCTCCATTTGCTTCATTTCTTCCTCCCGTTCTTCCGTACTCAAAGCTCCATTTGATTTCAGCATCTGAATTTCCTCTTCCAGGTCTCGGAGCCCACGCTCCATAGAGGAAATTTTTGAATCCTAAGGACATGAAAGAGGTAAGTGTTAAAGCAGTCACAAAAATACAAAGAAGTCAACAATTTCTGACATTGCCAGTCAAGCAGAAGACCCAATACTATTATGGGCTACTGGACTCTTTTAGAATATTTTGCTGAGTTTACACACCTATAATATTCAAATAACGGAA